TATGTGTTCCCTATATATATATATATATATACATTTTTAAATGTAAATTATGTTGCGTGAGAACAACAGACTTTTTATACAGTTTACATAAATTCCTGCAAACCTTATCTATAATTCTTAAAATCTATAATGTTCACAGAACACACACACACACACATAAGAAAATATAAATAAAAATGTCTAAATAAAGTGAGAAATCATCGTGCTGTGCGGCTGTTGAAACTCGACAACACTTGTAGAGAGAAATTCATAGAGAATGGTTCACTCTAAGCAATAAATCCAAAACAAACCAATTGACTAGAAAAACAACCAAAAAGATTCGTAGCTGAATTGTATTTGTTAATGAAGGTTATTCATTTTAATATTAGCTCTGTTACATGCTTGAAGGATGGGCTAGTTAGCTTATAGCATGTTAGCCACAGACCCACATCATCGATCTGGATTATTTCAGGACAACCTTCACATCACAGATCAACTGAATTCAATAAATGACACATATCTAATAAGTTACAGATACAGTATATTTACTAACTAACAACTATAATAGATGAAATGCATTTTGTTGTTGTTGAACAAAAGCCTTGAGTGAAGTCAGTAAACACACTGAATCAAACCAGTGCTGGTAAACACAGTGGAACCATGGCAACAGATCAACATAAAAAAACACAAATGAGTCAATATCACTACAAAAACATAATGATTTAATGTACCTGGAGGGGCGGATAAGCCCGTGTCGGGTGGACCGGAGGAATCCATTTTGATTCGGGTTTACTGGACCCGATCCCTGACCGGACCCAGACAGACAGACCAGTGTCCGGTTCCGCCCGGACTGACTCTCTGCCACCCTTTACTGTCACAGACCTGTCTGAGACTATAATCTGAAATACTCATTTAATAATGCAAAAAGCGTTTCTGACAACAATCTACACACACTATTATTAGATACTTTAAATCGTATTAGGCCTACATACGAAGCTCTAATTTATCCAAATAATAATTTATAATCCAAATAATATAATGTAATATCCTCAGTTATACTGACGACAGTCTTGCCTTGCAAACGACCCATTAGTTTGTGAAACAAACTCGCCAAGCCTTTATGTACAGTGCTAAAAATAACAAAACTGTTCACAGAACAGATAGGTTGAGCATGCATGACATTTTAAAAGTCACTGCACACTGGGGAAAAAAATAATGCTTTAAATAATAAAGAAGGGGTGGTTTTCTTAAATATATATTATTATAGTCTATTATAGTATTAAAGTTGACTCTTGTCAGAATGTAGCCTATATTGTATGTGTTCCCTATATATATATATATATATACATTTTTAAATGTAAATTATGTTGCGTGAGAACAACAGACTTTTTATTGATATATTATATACATATAGAATTTGTTATATTTTTGGGAACAAAACATTCTGAACTGTCCAACAGTTCTTCTTTTATGACAAATGCTCAAAAATGTCTCTCTATAATCAGTAAGACATTTTGCAGGAAAACTGCTATGGCGTTATTTTAATGACAAATGTCGAGAGCGCATTAATGTAGCACGAAAGCACATTCATATTCTTTTCTGTGAATGCACATATGCATCTCTCTATATAAATAAAGCTTTAAACAATCAGACCTCCACAACTGACCGATGGAAGTACTATGTGAAATCGAATTGGCTGAGAGGGAACTGAACCTGGAATTCTTTTGACAATCAAAGATGGATCTTTAATTTATTTCCAGTTTAATAATATTTAGCTATTTTAATGAAATGTGGCCTATATTAGAAATGGCTGGGTGCTTGGATGATTTGTACATATAAATAACCTCTGTCTAACTGGTTGGTCTCTGAGCAATTTATCTAAAAACAACATATTATAGCCTATGGCTCTAAAGACTTCATATAAAAGATCAATGCTATGTCATAATATGTCAGATACCTCAACTGAATTTAAAATCATTGCAATAAATTCTCAGTTGGTATGATGGCAGTAACAATTCCTATCAAATCAACATCGAATGCACAAAATAGACGTAAATTATGCAAGATATAACAAAATTAATGTTCTGATAGAATCACTGTTTGGAGATTTATTGGGAGTTTTTTTTTTTTTAATCCAGTGTTTGTTTTCAGTTCTGATTTTAGTTAGATTTTTTTTTTCATGAAAACCCACTTTATATTAGCTACACATTCAATGGCACTCTCAAACAGTGAATATACAGTTATATGACAGTTACATGTAATTACATTGTCTGCAAATGCAGTTGGTGTTTCTTGGAGGTTATAGTACATTGAAGAATGATCATATGACTTTTTACATAGCCTACGCCATGTGACCTGTAAATGCGAAAAAGCCGTTTCCATCGCAGTTTTGCGAATTATTCCTTTTTCGCATTGCCTGAAAAACCACCTCATGCGAGCGTAACAACTTTTTTGCGATATAGCCTATGGGCGTTTTTGCGAATTTGACGCGTTTCCATTAGGCGTATTTTCAATTCGCAATTTGCGCAATTTGAAGGGTAATGGAAACGCGCCTATTGTCTTAATGCGTGAGTCATCGAGTAATTTGTTCATTCAGTAACTAAGCAAGTGGCTGTATTTATAAATGAATCATTGAATCAATGACTTTCGCGAACGATTCGTTCACGAAACACCGACAGTTTTAATGTAAAGACAGTAATTATGAGATGAAGAAAAGCTTTTTTTTGTGGTGTTTAATCTTTTAGCCATTCACATTCTTAAAGAGAAATTTTTAAATTACATTTAGATTTATTAAGCAGATTTTATCATGCGTAAATACAGCAAATTAACCAACAAGCTTAGCCTTACCTCAGCCTCTATATATCGATATACATGTACAAACCCGATTCCAAAAAAGTTGGGACACTGTACAAATTGTGAATAAAAACAGAATGCAATGATGTGGAAGTTTCAAATGTCAATATTTTATTCAGAATACAACATAGATGACATATCAAATGTTTAAACTGAGAAAATGTATCATTTTATGGGGAAAATAAGTTGATTTTAAATTTCATGGCATCAACACATCTCAAAAAAGTTGGGACAAGGCCATGTTTACCACTGTGTGGCATCCCCTCTTCTTTTTATAACAGTCTGCAAACGTCTGGGGACTGAGGAGACAAGTTGCTCAAGTTTAAGAATAGGAATGTTGTCCCATTCTTGTCTAATACAGGCTTCTAGTTGCTCAAATGTCTTAGGTCTTCTTTGTCGCATGAAAGATCTGGACTGCAGGCTGGTCATTTCAGTACCCGGATCCTTCTTCTACGCAGCCATGTTGTTGTAATTGATGCAGTATGTGGTCTGGCATTGTCATGTTGGAAAATGCAAGGTCTTCCCTGAAAGAGACGACGTCTGGATGGGAGCATATGTTGTTCTAGAACTTGGATATACCTTTCAGCATTGATGGTGCCTTTCCAGATGTGTAAGCTGCCCATGCCACACGCACTCATGCAACCCCATACCATCAGAGATGCAGGCTTCTGAACTGAGCGCTGATAACAACTTGGGTTTATGTCCTCTTTAGTCCGGATGACATAGCGTCCCAGTTTTCCACAAAGAACTTCAAATTTTGATTCGTCTGACCACAGAACAGTTTTCCACTTTGCCACAGTCCATTTTAAATGAGCCTTGGCCCAGAGAAAACGCCTGCGCTTCTGGATCATGTTTAGATATGGCTTCTTTTTTGACCTATAGAGTTTTAGCCGGCAACGGCGAATGGCATGATGGATTGTGTTCACCGACAATGTTTTCCGGAAGTATTCCTGAGCCCATGTTGTGATTTCCATTACAGTAGCATTCCTGTATGCATGCAGGTCTTTCTTGTAACACTCGAGGGCAGCACCGTTCAACCATTTGATCTACAGAACAGGGGAAACCTTTCCTGTGGTTGAAAAATTTGTTTTCAGTTAATAATTGTTGAAATATTTTATAAATATTTCAATTTTCCAGAGCCTACAGTTTGCTGCATGTTAGTAAGACAAAAAATGAGCTGTCTTAGAATGAAATAAAATACAGACTTTTAGTTAAATATATATTTGGATTTTCATAGTCCTTGAACCAATGTTTTACCATGCACAAGGTTAACCACGTAATCACACGCTGAGATTATTTTTTAACTATCCTTGTTTTGACTGGCTTTCATGGTCACTGATGTCTGAAAGGAAATAGATAAACATAAACATCGATAATAAAAGCACAAAAACAGCATTGTATCATCTCAATGGCATGTGTTACTCAACAGAACCTAAAATCATATTATTGTCATAGTCATGTGACACTGAAGACTGAAGTAATGACTGCTGAAAATTCAGCTGTGCCATTACAGGAATAAAAGGCACTTTTAAATAGATTGAAATAGAAAGCTTTTTAAGTAGTTTTTACTGTATTTTACTGTACATTTCTACCAACCACTTGTAAGTTTGTTAAACATGCAATTTTGAATGAAGAGGGTCTTACATGCTCTGGACAGCTGTATGTGTATCACATAATGTCTGGAGGGTTGGAGGAGCAGCTGGAAGACTGAGTGCTCCATCAGTGGATCTATATTCTGGATCTGGGGCAGAAGCTGCAAAACAGGAGTACTGCTCCTCTCCCTTCTTCTTTCCACAACACTGAAACTGCTGTCCTTTGGTTTTCTTCTCATCCTTACAAAACTTATCAACCATCTTATTCTACTGAAATAGATAAGATACTCAAGAATATTACTATTTATGAGCAACAAAAATCAACATTTGAACAAGAAAAGGTGATGCCAGTTTTTTTTTCAGCTTAAAGGAATGGTTATATTTACTGCTTGTTCTGATGTGTTTGTTTGTTGATGATGCTATAACACTGTAAAGATTAATAATATTTCCTGTATTCATATTTACATTTAGCATTCTTTATATTTATTTTATGTACCTTCTATTGAAATAGTTAATCTGGAAGTGTTTTTATGAGTTCAGAATTAAACTGTGAACCATTTGTGATTATTTTTTTCTTCACCTTCTTTTCAGCACAGCTGAAGAGTGCTCGCCCTTTTTCTCCTCACAGCACTGGTTATATTCTCTCTCCAGGACATTGATGGCCTTCGACTGACGGATCAGCCAGCCATAGCCAGTGCGAGGAAGACACTTGGGCATGTATCGTGGTCGGATCTTGTGATGAGCACAGATATGTGCTATGTTGGAGGAATCAGGACGGCCAGGTGGGAAGCTGATGTATGGAACTTCGGTCTGCTTCATTAGTGCTTTTGGAGAAGCACTAATTCATTTTTCTTTTCCTGTCTCATTTGCAACCCTAAACGTGCTTATGGTGGGACAAATGAGTATTTGTTACATAACCACCTACAACTAGAAAATGAAGCAGTGTTGAGGATGACTAATTACTTCTTTATATAGGTTGAGAAGATGACATACTTTTTTTTCTCTCCAGCTACATTCTTTGTCTACATTGCAAAATAAATAAATCATTTTACTACTTTCCTTTGAACAAATGATATAGTTTTTGCTAATTAAGGATTAAGGTGTTAAAAAAATCTGTTGGTACAATGGGCCAGTTATGACTGGTACAGTATTTGACAAACCTATTGAAATTAATTTGAAAATAAATAAAAGTGTTCTGTATTTCTTGAGTATCTTTACAAATTATTTGCACAATATATAAATGAATCTCGTCTGGTACGGGGTTACATCTCTGCCACAATTCTGCACGTGAAAGATCATATTTTGAGCACACAAAAGTGCATTTTGCACGCGCGCAATCTGAGTTTTGTGGACAAAATGTTCGTCTCGCAAAGAAGAAAGTATTTTGAGTGCACTAAAATCAATTTTGCATTTAAAATAAGTTTTTGGATGTGTGCAGACCTTCTCTTTTGCATGTGCAACGTTTCGCTAGCTTGCTCCCTTGATGCCCGCCCTCAGTGCTCTCTAAATGCCTACAGCTCGCTTTCTCAACACATCCCAGCGTTACAATAGGCCATAATTCCAGCCAATCAGAGACAAGGATGCTAAATTCTGATTGGTTGCCTTGACAACCAATCACAACATTCTTTGCATTACTGATGACAGCGGAAGAGTAAAAATACAGTGCATGCATAATTATTATGCAAGTTGATATTCTAATTATATTTTTTTCCAAGCACATTTTACCAATTCCAAACAACATCAATCTTAATCACTTATAACCGATATATAATTGTTCATGAATGCTGGAAGTGAAAAACTCCTTATATTCAGGTGTGCATAATTATTAAGCAGGTTATCTACAGATAAAATCTCAAGATGGACTAAAAATGAACTCCCAAAACTTACTATGCTAAATTCTGATTGGTTGCCTTGACAACCAATCACAACATTCTTTGCATTACTGATGACAGCGGAAGAGTAAAAATACAGTGCATGCATAATTATTATGCAAGTTGATATTCTAATTATATTTTTTTCCAAGCACATTTTACCAATTCCAAACAACATCAATCTTAATCACTTATAACCGATATATAATTGTTCATGAATGCTGGAAGTGAAAAACTCCTTATATTCAGGTGTGCATAATTATTAAGCAGGTTATCTACAGATAAAATCTCAAGATGGACTAAAAATGAACTCCCAAAACTTACTGCCAGATTCTGGAAGATAAATTCTTCAAACAGTGGTACAAGAGGATGTGGTGCTGGTCCTTCAAGGGTCACTCTCAACTTATCTGTCTATAAAGCCTATATATATGAGCCAAAAACACGTGGAGAAGAAAAGATGCATGTTAACTGCAAAAGAATTAGGAAGTAATGTGAAGAATTGGGTGTGAAATACCAGGAACCATTTAGTCTCCAGCGCTACCATTTTCCATAACTGCAACCTACCTGGAGTCTCCAGAAGTACAAGGTGTCAGGTTCTCAGAGACTTAGGTTAAGTATAGAATCCTAAAAAATAACCCCTACTTAATAAGAACAACATACTGAAGTGTAGTAAAATACTTGAAGACTGATTTTTATATATATATATATATATACAGTGGGTACGGAAAGTATTCAGACCCTGAAGCCTCTTTATCAAAACAGCTCCATCTGGCCTTCCTGCTCTTCTTGCAGCAGAAGTAGTGACTGGTCTTAATAGTGAATTCTTGAAAACAGTAGGCAGCCAGACTCTTCTTCCACTGAATGATTGAAAAGACAATAGGCAGAAATAAACAAACAAAGGAAAAACACTATAATTGCAATGAGGTACATCTACAATGAAACAGACAAAAAGAGAGACTGCAACAGTCATGAGAGAATTATACGCGCACAAACAGTCAAAGCTTTACTTTCTTTTTTTTCTACTTTCCAATGTTTACTTTGACATTGGTCCATTTAAATGTTTTGGATACTTTCTCACCAAAGACTAAATAGTGAAAGGAAAACAAAGAGAGATTTTGTCTGAAGACCTTGACTGTACATGAGAGCGCAGATATTTCCCTGATGCACGACAATGTCCATATAAAGACAAAGTAGACAATAGAACTTAGCAACGTCAAAAAAATGAAAGTCAGTGTAGATGCAGTAATTTACAAAGGAAAAGCAGAGTAAAATAAGTCTTTAGCTGTCTTTAAAATATGATTAAGAAATGTACTTTCTATAGAAATTTTAATCCTCCTAGATCGAGACGGTCCTCACTGCAGAACACAAGATCCAGGGGTGTGTGGTTGGATCCAGATCCAACTCCTCCCACCTTACATATACCT